TATTTGTTCAACAAATGGAAAATGTGTTTGTATGTAACATATATGTGTTTTATATGTGTGAAAAATATGAATGAATGCAATAGGAGAGAAGTTAACATTCTCGGAATTATTTATATTGATAATTTATTGCATGCATAAAAAAAAGACATTCGAATTATGTCTAAATACATATATATATATATATATCGTGGAAGCAAATTGTAACAGTTATGTATTATTATGTAAGTCAGAGCTGTCCAAGATCGGTGTTTTTTGGCTTAAAATTGAAATGTGTCTGAATTCATATCTATTACCATTCCCTATTCCTTACTTTATTGCTGTTTTGTCGTAGCGTGCAACGCTCAGTCTCACTGAAATCGTTAAAAATTTTTGACCTGTCTTTCACTATGTTTTAAAAGTATTCTGTTATTAATATTATAAGATACTATTATTCATAATATATTTATCTATAAAAATGTGAATAACAGAATACTTTTAAACAATGAAAGACAGATCAAAAACTTTTAACGATTTTAAACTAATATCGTCTCTGAAACCGAGCGTCGCACGCTACGATAAAACAGTAATGAAGTAAAGAGTGGGAACGGTAATAGATGAATAACGACACATTTCGATTTCAAACCAAAAAACACCGACGTTGGACAGCTTTGTTGTAAGTTATCTGCGATTATCGATTTTTATCATTTATTTTGCTACTAACTTATAATATCTATAAGTCAGTGAATTTTATTTAAGAGCATAATATTATTACTATCATTACGTAACTCAGTTGTTTTATGAAATATATACTTTGATTAACTTTGAGTATCCCTAGAAACTTCTCTTTTTACATGGAGATACAGTTTTTTTATATATATTGTTTTTTCATAAATGTAATAGAATCGTTTAACACTCGCATCCAATGGAACGTTATCCTATATTATTTAGCTGTCGCTAGAGCTTGAGATATGGAGGAAGGGGAAAGTATAAATTACACAGCCTGCAGCTTACTACCTTAGCCTGTAGCCTCTACATAGATAATACTATAGTTTTCTCTCTTACATTTATATTTATCTATATCTAATTACTCTCTAAATAAGCATTTGTGCGATTTGACAATTTCTTTTGGTAGTTTATGTACAGTTTCTATACATAAGTTTATATGCTTAATCTCTTATAAAGATAAACGAGTGATGCAGCTAGGACGATTAGACTAATAAAGTGCCATGTGGGTATGTGTTCCAGGAGGTTCAGGCTACGGTGGCAAGCAAAGGGGTGCTCGTCAGAACCAGAGGCACCAACCCTATTAATAAAGGAATCCTCCTTATTTATGACCGCAATGCAATTCGCATTGTAACTGCCGGTGAGTCACTGTCCAATCTCCTAATGCTCTTACATCCACCTCTGCACTAAATTACCCAAAGATTTTAATGTGCACAAATAACTTTAACTTTGTACTTAAAAAAATAATGCACAGATTTTTATAAATTATATATTCTTTATAAGAATCTAAAATCGTGATTTTAAACAAAATAGTTACAAAAAATGAAATATGCATTCCAATGTTTTTTTCTTTGAAAATCTGTTTAGAAAAAAAAAGTTATTTATCAATTAGGAATAAGATTTCTTAAATTTTTAAATAAAACCAAAGCTATTGTATTTTTCTTGTAATTGTTAATTCGAAATAGCTTTTTATCTAGAATTATTGCTCTACGTTTTGCATATTTCACACGTTGCTGCTTTTTAATGCCAACTTTTGTTAACCATTCCATTTCTATTTCTGTTTCAAATAAATGTTTCATTTGCTATGCTTCCATCCATGTTTAATTTGCTATACTTCATTAATTTTACAAATTGATTTGTATAATACATGGCATAATGCAATATGAATAATTAAAAGATTAATAAAAATTCCTTTCCTTTCCAGGTATCGCAAGCCGCGGTTTCCGTTTACAATCACATTACAACTCGTCCAATCATTCCATTCAATATGTATCAACATCGGCCAATATTCAGAAAAACAAGATTCGAACAGCATGAAATTTTACAGAAACCGTTCTAATAATATTTTGTTGATTTTGTTTTTGTATATATATATACGCGCTTGCTTTTTTCAACTTATAAAAACATTTGCGTGCACGTGCGCACGCATTGTGTATATCGTGAATGAATACCTAATGATAATAGTAGTTATTTTAATTTTTTCTACAAACGACACGGCGAACTATTATAAATGAATAAGCACGCAATATGTTTCTATATGGCATGCGAAAAATCGATTTAAAAATCAGATAAATCGTGCTGTTTATAACGACCGTGTGAAATAATTAATAAAAGGATTACTTCTTCCTTATTAGTAAGATATAATAATAGGATTAAATAAATTCGTTTTGTGTACATAATATATATCTCATACATACATTTGTAGTTTTGTTCTGACCTCCTATATGGCAACTTAATATTTTTTTCTTTTTAATACACGACATGTACACAAGATTTATGTCTGGAACGTAGAGATCATCATTTATACACATAGATTTAAATAAAAGACTGACACATGCATAAAATGGAATTTATCAGATTTATTAATAGAACTTATGCTCTACTGATTCATAACATCGTTGTAGCACACGCGTGTGTAAGCTTAATATGCAAACTGATGGTATACCTGGCGTGTGCTATGACAAGATTCTGGCTCGATCATAGAAAACAGCGCATGTACATTATATTTATATACAAACAAGTTTATTCTAACACGAGAAGATTGTCACAATAAAATTTTTAAAGTACATCAGACGATATTGTATTGAAAATACAATGTTGGGATTATGTATTTTTGTCCGAGTACATACTGTTCTGATCTTATATCTCACAAAAGTATTACATTATATAAATTTAAAAGGGATGGTCTTATGTTAGTGGTTTATTTAAAATAAATTATGTTTATATATATATCAATTCGTGTTCTTTAGTGTAATCATCCAAACCATCTACTCAAATCCTGCGATTTTCCTTAGCCTTCCCGAACTTTCAATATTTAATTCTTTTAAGAATTTACATAGCTTGAAAAAATTGCTATACATTTTTTTTGAAGATAATGTAACTAAAATTAAAAATGATAAACAAAAAAAAATGATTATAATTTGAATGTAATTTTATATAGCTAAAATTTTTATTGAGTCTTAATATTTTTCTCGCATTTTATTCATAAATTGAATATCTTAGACAATATCTTAAACATTTTTGAATAATACTTTACGGAAGACAAAATTCAATTAATAATATATTAATTATTATCAATCGCTGATGGTAAATATTCTGTTTTGTCCTTGATAGATACAGAGATAACTTCTATTGTTCCTCATAAAATTATTTTTATTTTCCGAACAGATTTTGTAGGGGGAGGGAGAAAGTTTTAAATTATAAGATAAAAAAATTTCAATAAATAGTTATATACTTTTTTTTAATAGTTTTAATTTCCATTTATCTCTTAAAATGTACATTTGATCCACGAAAGCGGAGGCTAGTAAGCGTTCGAAATACGAGAAGGCGTCATTGAGATCACTATCTTGGAGATTAATGAGTCAAAGCTACAAGCTCTCTAATTAGTAGTACTACTAATCTCATCCAGCTAAGAGTCCGTTCTTCCACTTAACGTGTTCTCGCGTTAATGACAATTGCATCTTAACTAAATTCATTCAACTGATTGAGCTGTTAAATTAGACGCATTATAATTTTGCAACTTTCTTTAATAATATTAAAACTTTCTATCATTTTATTATCCCTTTTGCGAGAAATGCAAATATGAATTCTAAATATATGGATTTAAAAATAAATAATATTTCTCAGTTTCAATCAGAAACTAGCGTATTGGATTTTTGCATTTTCATCCAAAGCGTTCCAGAGAAGGCTTGTAAAAAACAGCATCGTAAATTTTTTATAACTAAATACTGTAGAATTCCATTTTAATCATTCAAGGGAGATATTTTCCGAGTCCAGTGAGAAATAAAGTTTCAGTTTAAAGCAAGAAAGTTTGTTACTAGCAATATGTGCGCTTTTATTTAACATTTTGGAAGCTTTTACAAGTTTTTTTTTAGCATCACTTTTTTATCTGATACTTATCATTAATTCAGATTCTATAATTCCAACACTTGAATATTTTAGAGATATAAAAAGATATTTCTATTTAAGTCCATCCTTTATCGACTCTCTACATCTCAACTTTTTACAGGATGAGAGCTCTACAATAATAAAAAATATTATTTTATTAGATAATAAAGGAAACTATTTATTCATTTAACATTTATTGCAAAATGGAAGTATCATGCTAGTTCATGAAGTATTAACACACCGTATTTTCAATTTTGATTTTTTAATATAAAAAATACGGAACATTTATTATTATAAAGAACTGTAGAACTGCGAAAAATGCTACTAAACTATCATTATTGTTATTTTTATATTAATACAATAGAATGTCGTGCTAACTTCACAAATTTCACTTTTGGATATCCATTTTTCACAGTTAATTTAAGTGAAAAATAATACAAAAATAAGAAGTGTTCCACATATTTTATACTAAAAAATCAAGATTAAAAAAATTGCAGAACTCTGTTTAAAAATAATTGTAAAATATAGATCTCTGCTAGTACTAACAAGAAATGTCGCTTGATGATAAATTACTGTTTGAAAATTAAAATTAAAAAGAATATTCAGAACGGGGTTTGTAAACACGGAGATAATTGTACACGACGTAGAAGCCAATAAGTCAGTTATGGTACTAATATACAAAGTTGTTTATATCTTAGAAACAATTCCAATTTATGTTTTCATTAAGGCTTTTTTACTCAACATGATGTGTACTATCTTCCATTCAAATATTAAATAGTTTTTTTATCACCCAATATATAAATATATATATATATGTATGTATATTTAATACAAGAACCATTAATTTAACTATTATTTTTTATTAAGTAAATATTTATTTACTGTGAATGTTGGTATTATTGAAAAAAAATATTAAGATTTATTAAAAAATTAAATTTTTTTCTCAGTGCATGTATTTTATATAAAGTGCGCTGATCTTCCCGGTACAATTAATGCAAAAATATTTAATTTGTCTTGATACGTGCTAAGTAATGCTGTTGATCCGAAATAGATTTTCAACATATTATTACCTACCGACATCGAATCCAATTTAAATCCACGTTTATTTCCATTAGTCCGGATCCTTTAGATTTCACACTATGCTCATGCAAGATTTCGTCGGACTCGGTCCGACAGGTCAATAGTAACTTCCGGTGATGCGAATTTTGCACCAAACAATCTCCGGCTGCGGTACGACAACCGTCTCGTACTTGTGGTGAAGCCACCCCATCAAACATCGAATGTCACCCGCAAAATTCGTAGGGATGGAAACGCAATTAATCTTCGGTAACAAAGTACGTAACTCTTAGTGGATTAATTCTTCGATTCCATTAAAACTTCGGCTTACAAATTAATACCCAGTAAATTTTTATAACTATTTCCAACGTTTCCATGTTTCCATGAGAAAGTCTCTTGATTACTTGAGAAAAGAAGTATACAAATTTATCTATTAAAAAAATAGTTCTATAACTTCATAAAATAAGTAGTTCATAGAGAGCTTATAATTCTTGTAATTTTTCGTATTAAAACAATTCGTAGATTTTTAAAACTTTACTCAATCTATTATTATGTTTTAAAGATTTAATCCTACATGCATATGTAGATCTTTGCCATTATACTACTAGATTTTTAAGAAAATGCAAATTATTGTTATCACATTAACAATATCAGATAAATTAAATTTTCTTCATTTTTAAATTATATTTCTATGTAAAAGCATATAATAGTTGTTTTCCCTTTTTTCTTTCCTTAAATACTTTCATCCCTCCTATCACCCTCTAGTGGACATTCTAATATGTCTCCTTATAACCTGATATAATTATCTACATCACTTGTATTACTTTTTCCAGCTTACATCATCTACTATGTACTATGTTTCTTCTGTTTCGTACAGTTTCTTCTGTTTCTTGTACCGACATTTTCACGTTGCTCCAAAAAAACGACGATTATCTCTTTCCGCTGAAATTGGGTTTTCCATCCCGATCAACGTATCGGTTTCGTTGCAATATTTGTTCTCAGTTATTTGTTTCGCTATTGTTGTCCGTCTCGCGCTCGTTTATTTTACGACAAAATCCCGCGCGATAATTTATACGAATCGTGTGCATTTATTCTGTAATATCATATTGTATTATCATATTGTATTATCGTTATTATTAATAAATAACTATCGTGTATTACTTTAGGTATTATCTCCCCGAATCTCTGCGGCATTGGCCTTTCAGCATGGCATAATTGGGTGGTAACCGACAAGCAGGAACATGCAAACACGATACGAAACATGAATAATCATTAAGCAAATCCTTCCCCCTCTGTTTGATTATCTTGTTATAGATAATACGAAATACAATAGTTACCGCGTAAATTCCACATAAATGTATTTTAGAATAATTAATTATAAACGCGATCGCTGAATATTTGGAGCAACGTATTCGATTAATCGGATATTCGGATTGTCTGCACTTGATATGATACATTGTTAAATATTAATTAATAACTACTCAAATGTAACAGAAAGCTATGCGCAACAGCCGATAGCGCGTTACAGAGAGCAATTAGTTTCGTAAAATTTTAAAATCAGATCCTAAAAATTTCTGTCTTGACAGAAATGAGAGATGAAATCTCTAAAATAATATAAGTAAATTCAAGACAGAGATGGGAATTATTATTCAACATTTATTTAATTGCTTATACTTGCTGTCATCTAAATAGTATCATGCTAGAAGGTTGACTAGTATGCATTTAAACATTTAAAGCTGTTTACAACATCGTGGTCTAATCATATAGATTGTAAAGTTTGTACTCGCTATTACTTAAGTTAAATTAATTTGCTCAAGATACGTATCCATTGTTCCTATGGAAAATATATAATTCTCGTCGCTGTACAGATTGAATTAATGTAATTACTCTACACGTACAAAGATCGTACTTTCATCGCCGAGGTTATCACGCTCAACGTTAAAAATATTGTCTATTCGTACTTTATTTGAAAAATCTGTTTGCAAGTTAGAAAATCGAAAGAGACATAGGTGACAATCCTGTGAAAAGTTATTAAGTCATCAAAAAAAATTTTACTTACATGATACAATCTTTTTTTTTAAGTGGGGAATATCATGTAGAATTATTATGAGTCATAATTATTATTACTCGAGACACCGAGTTTTTGGAACTGTATTATATTATACATAAATAATAAAATTATTTGAAGAGCCTATATAATAAGACTTTTTTTCATTTATTCGTATTAATAAAATTATTATTATATTAAAATTATAAATTTGGCAATGCGCTGTAAACTAGAATTATGTTGCAATAAACTCAACAAATTTGTTTTTTTTTTTTTTTTCAAGCTTTGAATTGGATTTTTCCGCAACTAAATAAAGAATTATACAAATTAAATAATAGATATTAATCTTATGATTATTAATTGCAATTAATCTTTGATAGATGAAAATTGATATTAGGGTAGTTTCATATATCTCATTACGGTTCATCAATAGACAAGTCATGATCGTTACTGATCATATAATACATCGAAAATACAGCAAATATCTTAATACTTCTAAAGAGTGAAGTTGTCATTTAATACCATTGCTCTTCGATGATTCCAACAATTAAATTATTCCTACATGGCTTCAGTCTATTAAACGATTGGGTAGAAAAAGAGTCTTTGCTATATATGTTTAACGAAAGAAAGACGATACATATAACAAAAATTATATGTGATATTACTAACCCTTTGAATAATGTCAAAAAAATTTCAATGCCCAAAAATTGTACTTTGCTACGTAATTAATTATTTCATAGCTCTCTTACCGGTACCTTAATAACGTATTCGTCATTCTCGTCTTTTCATTCACACACGCACACACAGATGCAACGACAAAAGCTGTTTCCATACAGTACGCAAATAATCCTAATTTTATATTACACATCATATAACACAGTATATACGCTATAAATGTCATAGACTAGTCGCACATTTGATATTTTTCGTTCTTCTTTTTTTCATATCGATCCAAAATTTTTACACTTTCTTATGGCACATAACATTATCCTCAACGACAAGCACAGAACTGTTAAAATCGCGTGAATTGCTAATATTCACGTTCGTCAAATCTAAAGTACCTAAATAGTATTCATTTACTTGTATCTTCTATATATTGATTAGCGACTTGATTTCCCCAGTTTTTTAAAATAAAGTAATTTATACTTATCGAAAGCCCGCCTGTCAAACGGGCCCTGTTAAAAATTATACATTAAAAAGTCTTTCAATACACTAGCCTGTGTATTACTATATTGTTGTTTTACCATTATTAATTACTATCAATGACAATAGATAATAATAGATATTATTAATAATAATAGATAGAATCATAGCCTGATATATTTAACATTCTAATTAGATCAAGAAGGGCATGAAAAAAGAGAAAATGCAATATCCTCCTGAGTAACAAACCGAGATTACTCATCTAAAGTTTGCTCCCAGCATCGAGTTGCTGGTATAAGCTAATTAATCTAATTACTAATAAGATTATAATTTTTCCAGCCACATGGCTCGAACTTTCAAATGATATGCTATTCGTTTCCGAATATCTAAAAACTTTACGTCATTGCCATGGCCTCAAATTTAATTGTTTATGACGTTAAGAAAATTAGATATATCATATACAAATATAAATCTGAATATTTGGTAGTTTCATTATCATTACATATACCTACCACAGAAACTCGTCATGAGAAATATTCACCGACGCAAATACGTCGCAAACGTTTCCTAAAGAACTTATTATTTATTGTTTACGGTATAATGCGTCTGGAACGTATTTCGAATATTTTCGAAGCGTTCGTCGAAACGACTTCTCTTCGAAATTAGCGCACTTTGGTCCGTACTTCTATAACGCGGTATTTACTGACAAACATTGGATTCTACACTTTCTTTGGTTAACGCGAGAACAATATTTAGCACAAATACTGGATGAGAATCAGACCGATAGCATTCGCAGCTAAACATGCACTGTCCACTCTCAAGTTTTGCTGAGGTAGTGAACATTGTACGAAGGAGAACAAACTCTTAAGATCGGGCAGAGCGTCTAGCGCTGCTAAAACGGTGGAAGAGTATTTCGTTCTTATTTCCTACGTCATTCTTATGTAATTCTTGAACAGTTCTCCGTGAATTAAAAGGATACTTATCAACATTTCAAGATTTAACATTTAACATATCGACATCGACAAATCTTTTCAAGGTCTGGTTCGCCTCTTAAAATTAATGGTCCTGCATCAAGTAATTTCAGCGCGGGACTACTACTACTTTGCGGGATTTCTAAATCAAGCGATTTCAAGCTTATACATGTATTTATAGGGCTTTATATTGCACTGTATGTGGCCATTGTGAGTGTCCACACTGCCCACTCTCCTTATTCGCTTACCTAGCACGGATTTAACCAAACCCTTAAATATTCGATTGTCCGAATGTTCAATTAAATCAACCCGTCCAATTGTCCCATCCACGAGACGAGTAAGCAATAACGCCTTGTTGTAAGATGCAACGAGGATAATGAACGGATGATGAGCACATTCGGCAACTTACGTTACCCGGAATAGTCCAGTGAGTAGTCTCAATCCGCTAGTCAAAATTCACAAAAGTTCTATCACTTGTATTTAATCTTCTCGAACCGCTCCGTTCGCAGATAACTGAAAAATTGAAGCAGTTGTGTCCTATTTCCATAAGTTCTGTAATCGCATTCTCTCCCGATTTTATTCACGTCACACTGTCGGAAGTCTCCTATCTGACGGAAATTTCCCTCGAAGACCTGGTCCGAGGATGAAGAAAGAATCAGGTCCATCTAGAAGCAAACGGAGATATAAAGAGAAATGGCGGATAAGAAGAAAGAGAAACGGCGGATAAGAAGAAAGAGAAAAAGAGAAAGAGAGAAGGGATGAGACACGTGGCGATGGAATTTCATTATCTGGTGGAGTTTGAAGAGGCAAGTCGCGTGAGATGTCCTGCAGAGGATTACATTTGAATGAGTAAATCTGGCTAACTAAGAGCGCAATGCAGTCGTCTCAACACAAAGCTCGAAAAGCAAATGACTCGCAGATTAATTCCTACCCCAAGGCAATTTCCTTTCTCAACCCTCGCCACCGTTCAATAAAAAAGATTTTGAAGTAACTAAAGTAAAGTAAGAAATCGCGCAGTAAAAATAAAGAATCGCACATTTTATTAATTAGAGAAACAATGTTAATTAAATTAATTTTTTTTTATAAAATTAATTTATTTAATTTAATTAATCTACTTTGCCGAATTTTGTTTCAGTATAGATACTTACTTTAAAATTTTGTAGTTTCTTTTCAAAAGCTTAAAAATTTGTATTTTAAAATTTTCCTTATTTATACGTTATATACATTATATTATATATACATTATATAAAATATAAATAAAAATATATGTATATAAAATTAAGAAGTATTTTTCACATTCATATGAAAGTACATATATTACTTAATTAATGTGAATAATTAATGTGTATTTGTATAAATTTCAAGACTTATTATTGTAATTACTTTTATAATAATGCAACGAATAATTATTTTTACAATCAAACATTCATGATAATATTTGCGATGAAATACGAGACTGTCAGGATTGCGAAACTATATTGCGGGACTTTCTTATCGATATGGGTAAGTCTGAAAAGATCTGCGAAATGGAATCTGTAACATCTTGGAATTCTTTCATTCGTCGTATTTTTCTCCGGAGAATTATAAGAAACTTACATCACGTGTCAAAAATTTTAAAAGAAATTTAATATCACTGTAAAGTATTTAAAAAGTACGTTTCGAAACATATACAATTATTCTAATCGAATATTAAATATTTATTAATTATATTAACGTTTTGAATATTATCAATATTAGTTGAAATAACATTTTATAATATAATTCTCTGAATTGTCGAATTACTCCATTTATTCATAAAAAGATAAATGTGTAAATAAGCTGAATTTATATTTATAAATTTAGGATGCTCGCGGAAAGTATGCTTATACTTGGAAAATACACATTATCATGAACAAATTAATATTTTCAAATTATAAAATGTTATGCTATGTTTAATAATTATCGATAATCATTATGAAAAATCTGATATGCACATATTTCTCTGTACTCTTATTTATTATAAATGTTACAAATTATAAAAATCAATTGATAACATTCAATATATACGTTTGTATCTTTGGTCATTCCGATTCTCAAATAAATCTAATATCGAATTATGAACTGACAGAAAAACTTATTACTTTCACAATTTCACAATTAATAATGGCGTAACGAGAAAAGATGCAAAGTTGCGAACTTTCCTCTTTTTAAATTGCAAATCTTATCAGTTTCTGACTTTTAATTACTTTTATTTTAGTAAATAAAATTTTAAAAATTAAAGTTAATTTTATACACTTGTAATTAAAAATAGAAATGTGAATTTCATTACCAAAATTTATAATAACTTGCCAGATCTATTAAATATTCCTTACAATTTAAAAAGTATGATTTTGAAGAGACTGCGAATTTTACTTTATCTTGTTATTTTCGAAAAATATTCTGCATATGATGAGGCTCTTGAACTGTTATATCTCTCGATATATTTATTATTCTATCGGGAGATTGTTTTCCGGGTATAAAAAAAATTGAAATTTAATTTATTTAAAGTTAATTATTATATTTAATTATTATATTATATTTAAAGTAAATTATTTTTTTTTCAATATCTTCATAAAAATTGTATAGATACTCTTAATAAACGTTCGAAAATAAATTACGGATATACGTGTAGAATTCAATAGATTTTATCATATAATCAGATCAGAATATCATCATTCAGATTGTTTTTTTGCGGATTTATTTTTACTATGTAAAAACAAACAGTTTAGTTGTCGTCGTTAAATTGATGAATTGCGGTCATTCGCAATTTAAAAATATTCACTCTTTGATCACATCGCCACCGCGATGCAACATCGAATAACCAAAACAAGAAATATCAGCTTAAAATTTTTACGCTTTTTTTCTATGCGTTAATAAAATCAAATGTATAACAAATATATAAAATAGATGATATTAAAGTAAATAAGGTTAATAAAATTAGACACAAAATGGAATGCTTGATCATTGCTTTGTGCACTGAGAAGCATAAATACGAGTAAGTTTGCAAATGTATCATCGATTTTGTTATGTTTACACTCTGTAATGAAAGAAACGAATCTCTCTATATAAGTTACAAAATAAAATTAAATCCAATTCTGAATCTCTCACATGCAGTTATTTAATGATATAATTAAACACATAAAACATAATACATACTTTGAAGACACTATCAAGTTGAACAAGCATAATTTTATTTATATAGATAATTTTTAATGCATATATTTGTTAAAAGTTGCTCAACTAAAATGCTAAGAATCGATGTTATTTTCAAATATTAATCTCAGGTTAAAATTATTGATATTTATTCGACTTATCTTAAAAATAGATTCATTTCAAAACTCGATAGTAATTTTGTAATTTTTACGATCTTAAGAAATTAAGTATCTTTATTATTTAAATATCTTTCTATTATTCAACAGTTTTTAATCAGAGTGTTGTATTCTTAAGAAGACTCTTCTTTATGACGTATCCCAGCGAACCATGAATATAACTGCTACATAACATAGATGTAAATGATGTATATCTATCTATATGTTATATAACAATTATATTTATGTTTGTTAGTTAGGGATTACACTTTTCTTTTCAGAGCAAAATATACAGATACGAATAGATTATATACATAAATCTATCTTGGATTTCCTCAAACTCTCAGGACGCCATGTATCATAAAGCTGAAAGGAGCTTAATTCAACCCTTTGATTTGCTGCGGAACTGAATGCGGAGTAAGTCTGCACGGATTAATGAAACAGCGCACCGATGTGTCATGCCGAATATGAACGTGCGAGATGAAATGGCGACGTTGGCCGACCGTTTAGTTTACCTCGAGATCGAATCGTGCTCCATTCGTCTACCCTAGTCGGACATTCGTCGCACATGCACTTTCGAGGGGTCTCTCGCTGTCGGGGAACTTGAGAACCCCGCAAGCGTGTCACGGATGGTCTACGGGATGCGGACCGCTCGAGTTTCGGGACTTTGAATCCCCAAAGGAGTTTCGGATCCACCTGAATCATGCATGCAGAAACGGAGGACTTTGGCTGGAGAGAATCTTAGCTTACTGTTAATGTGTTGAAAATTCTCAAGCTGCAAAAAACCGCGCGGAAAATGAATTCGTACACTGAAAAAAAAGATTGGCTGCTGCAGCAAATTGGATGGTAAAATATGGCATAGCATTTTTAATTGATTGCACCAGTCAATTTTGGTTTGCGTTAGCTTATCGCAATCCTATACTGACATTGCACAAATAGGCTAACGTAATCAAAAATTGATCAATTAAAAATACTATGCCACATTTTATCTACCTAATTTGCTGTAGCAACCAATCTTCTTTTTCAGTGTAGCAATCGGAAAGTGATTTCGATAGAGAACTCCACAGTTCAACGCGCGAGAATATATTTTCCTCTTTTATAACTTGCTTTAATTTGAATGAACATTTTTCAATATGATAATAAATCCTTTCACACGAGTTTATAAAAGCTGACGTGAAATCATTCAACGGAAAATGTTTGACAACAGAAATGAAAAGTATAATTCATAATTCTTCACTAATGTTTCAACAATCATAAAAATTACTACTTTATGCGAGCGTAACTTTTATCGTAGAACGTGCTTTTGGTTACTCTCACTGAAAGATTTTATTACTCGAGTTATTTGTTGCCATTTGTCAAGTGTTAGTTTGCAGTTCGTTTCAATAGAAACAGAATCGTATATTTTCAAATTAACGCGTTTTATCGGTCGCGTCACATAAAATTGCATAAACTACTTCGAATTCGAGCCACTCTGCGAATTATGATTTTTCAAAAATCTCGAACGTTGCCGTTTTAATTAAACGTTATTTGCGTTTTCAAGCAAAAATATAATTGCTGTGTCATACTAAATTACAGAAGCGATTCGCTGGGAAATTAGGAGCGCGACTTTTTGAGGACATTATAAGGAAACTTTACGGCTAATATATCTCAAAAACGCTTTGGAGAAAATTGCCATAAATTCTATTTTATGAAGCGATATGAAAGGGTACGATACCAGCGGGGTACGTATCGAAGGATCGATAGGGGCGCATTTCGAAACTCCCTCCAGTTTCTTTTCGTTTCTCCTCAACGATATATCAGAGCTGACATAACGAGCCACGACGTACCTAACGCTGGTGCTTCTGGTCTGGCTGAGACTTGGATTTCTCGTTACAGATGCCCGGTAACCTCTTCTAGGGCAGAAAATCCACCATCCGCCGCAGGCAGCCGACAGGAAGTTCTCCCTGAAGTGCTTCGACATAAACCCGTAAACTATCGGGTTTATACAGCTGCAAAACAGATATTAAATTAAAGACTGCCGTTTCGGTACAATCGGATCGAATATCGCGTTAATCGTCGAACAGCTAAAATGCGGAAACTACGTCGCGTTTATGCAATCGCGTTCATAAACCCGCTGCTGCGGATGCACGCGGTTGCATCGGAACGCGAAATGAAATCCGCAGTTTAACATCTGGAATGCGTAAACACAATCCAATTTCGCATTTTCCTGTAATCGAATTTTCAGATGTAAATCCCGTATCGATTATTCTATACCTGAGTGGTTCCAGCTTACCAAATTTTTCGACATAAAAATAAGAAAAAAATGCGCAGCGGATATTTCACGAGATAAGAGCATTCAGAGAGCTCTCTCTCTCTTATTATATTACATTTTGTTTTATTTTATTCATATTTTGTTGTATTAATATTACATGATAATAAATACACACACACACACACCACACACCACACACACCACACCCACACACCCACACATCCACACACCACACACCACACACCACACACACCACACACACCACACACACCACACACACCACACACACCACATACCACACACCACACACCACACACACACACACACACCACACACACCACACACACCACACACACACACACACACACATATTAATTAAACACATCACGCGATCGCATGTCTCCTTAATTATTCCCAGAAGATGAGAGTGGTCTGGATATATTCTCATTATAAGTAGCTAAAGTACCTCGGGCTAGCCAATCCCGTACTCATGAACATGAGCCCCGAAGGGGTTTGATCTTAACACATTATGATACGATGCAATCAATAATCAAATTAATGACTGATTAAGATGCAATAAATCCTTCGAACGTACGTAATTGAAATTCAATATCGCATTCGATTAATTTCACGAACGCAAATTCCGAAGTACTAATAAAAGTATTATAATAAAAAATCGATCGATATATCACGGATTTCTGTCACTTGAAACAATACACGAAATAATTATTTGCAATTCGTATATTATTCCATTCGAAATCATTGAACGCAATTCGAAAATGATGAGTAATTTATATTTATTTTATTATAAATTCTCGAAAGCTTCAAAGCGCGATGATATATCTGGATTCAAGAAGTCACAAAAACTAATTTGCGAAAAAATTGCGAAAAAATTATCGCAAATGACTTTAAGCGTCGATAATTAATAAATAGATAAGTAATAAAAAATAAATTATCAATCCAGTATCATTTAGATTTAACTTGATGATTTGTTCACTCAGTTTGATATGTTCTATTAGTTTGATCCAAATTTAGTTTTTTACTAATATTTAAAAAAATTTTTTTCTGGTATGAATTTTATGAATTCGTTTGCTAATGTAAGACCATTTTTCTGTGAAAATTTTTTATTTTTAAAAATTTTTTATTTTTTTTATTTTTTATTTTTTATTTTTTATTTTTTATTTTACTTTTTAATCATATTAATCCAAACGACATAATTGTAAGTATTATATTTGAACAAATTAACAGAGTTAAAATTAGATTGTTTTTATTCAACAACATCGAATATTTGCAAAAATTTATTGATTAAAAAATATTATAATAGTAACATTAGAATTATGAAATAAAAGTTTATCTCCAAATGACAATGGACAATTCCATCTCACGTTTGAATGTGAAGTTCCGCGTTTCTCGAGGTTAATGTAGGGATTTTCGTGAAACTTTAAACATTTGCGACAAAGGAAGAAGATGTGAGCTGAATTTAAGGGTGAGAGACTATAGCGTTTCGAGATTTGCATTAAATAGAAGCAAAATTTGTTTGTAACTATTAAGAAGCTTATTCACTTGTATTGAACTTATTATACACGTCCTTATTATTATGGTCTTCCAGATAGTCCCACACAGACACACACATGAGGATATCTATATCCAATACTAGAGGTAGCTCGAACTTTGGGAAACTTGCCAAGCTTTCTGCCACCGGAGGTTTCTCTCCGTTCGATGAAGAAAAGTTAGAAGCTGCTTTAAAATTTGAAAGGGTATGCACTTTTGCTAACCTTATAACAGTTATGTATAACCAAATAGAAAATAACGAGGCACTTCTGAAAATTCTTAAACCAAATCTTTCATGAAAATACCAAAATATTGTGGGCATATTTCTCTATTGTACAAGTTTTGCTTTAAATGTCTTAAAGTCGACTGCTCCATCTTCAGATAAACTACGTGATTTATCTAATGGATAAACAAAAGAGTAAAAAAGTAAAAAAATAAAAGAATAAAAGAGCTGAAACTTATAGAAAGATGAAATGACCCAGCCTTAAATGTAAAAATAATTGAGTGTACTCGTACTTAAAGCAGATATTTTTCAAAGAAAGTTTTGATAAAACAATGTATGTAAAAATATATTAATAAAAATATATTAGTAAAAAATCATTATTTTTTTAAATATATATATTTTAATATATATATATTTTTTTAGTATATATATATATATTAGGTGTTGGAATTAATTCGTAGCGTTTTTAATGAAAGAATGTTATTTATTTCACATGAGCATTAAAAAATACATTAATGAAAGTACTTCCCATCACTTGTAAAACGCTACGAATTAATTCCAACACCTAATATAAAAATAAAAAAATTAATCTCGTGTTAGTTCCCTAGATATATAATAATTTAATTCTATTTTAACTTTATACTTTATTTACACATCAATTAACAATTTAATTTTTTAGCTGTTTAAAAGCTTTTACATAATTAATCTCGCATTATTATCCTTTTTCCAGGTTTCTAATTTATAATGTTAAAAGAATTATTAGAAAGAAAAAAAACGTTTTGATACAAAATGTATAGAATTTAATTATAGAGATGTTATTTGTAGAATGAAATAAAATAAATATGAAATGAAATGAAATAAAATTGTCGAATGAGCAAAGTCATTATAGGTAATTAAGAAATATTTCTTTTCAATCAAAAGCTCTCGTTTACATTTAACGAGAGAAAAAAGTTTCCAACATATTTATTTAAATTGAATACTTAGACATTTCATTAATCCATCAGATTTCTTCCAAATCGCACATTTCTTCTTTAACAACGATTTAATTAAAGGCTGTCAGCTATTTTATTTACATACAGCAAAATGCAACTTTTCAGTAATTAAATTTCAAATTAATATATATTTATTAAAGTAAACTTATTTTAGATGTAATATTAATTAAAAAGATAAGAAAGCTCTATAAATTCATTTACACTTTCAATTTTTATTCATTTCATTTTTAACTACATATATTTCTTTTGAAAAAGTAATGTATTCTAGAGAATTTCCGTTGCTCTAAAAATTTCACGCTAAATTTATTAAAGAAACGGTACTTCTCAAAGAAGATACTGTCATCTTTCATTTTCGTTGAAAAGGTAATAGAAAGAATTTCACGTATGTATAAAACTAAAGATTAAATTAAATTAAAAACATAAAATATAAAATTACTCGAAAAGACCAAGTCTCTCTCGGGTATATTAATGTTTGAGAGAAGAGGGTAAAAGTAATATGAATTTTTTTTTTAAAGCGATGGGAGAAACTACACGAAGCGGAGAATGCAATGTTTTTTCGTAACAACCCAAATCACTTCAATAGTGTGCAATTTATCTATTGCATCCGACGCTGTTGCCTGACAGCATCACGACTTGTTAAGCTAATCAGTGGTCGTTATCAAAATGATACACGGCGTATTTGCAGAGATAGCTATTAAAGTTATCATTCTATATCGCGAAATGTAAAAAGCGAGCGACACGAGGGAGAAAAAGAGATCGTGGATTCGGCGAAAATAATGCCGCACGTGTCCTCGCCGTTTTCGCAATTCGATACAGGGATGATTTCAAAATCCGCATATCAATCGCGCAAACACACTTCCGCAATATTTTCGAAATTTAATGAAATACAAATACATCAATTGTAAATTGTAAATTTAATGTTTTCAATAAATTAATGTAATTCGACCGCGTTTACCACGATATTGTATGTACATATAATATACCAGTTATATTGCATGCAAACCACGAACAAACTTCGCAACTCTCACAAATTATATTTATTCATCGAAAAAAATGAAATGCCAATCGACAAACGTAATTAAGTTTTCTTCACGCGATGCAAAATTAACGTCTTCGATATCAGCATATACATCGCAAAAATATTTGCGTTTCCTATGAGTTATGTACATAACGCGCATCCGTTTGTTACGAAATAAAATGCAATAATTAAATTTGCCTCGAGAAATGCCATAACGAATTCAATAGTAGTAGAAAGAAAGCATTTCATAAATATGAAATATGTGCTGCATATCTAGAATATACCGAGGTTTCCAGCTTTATTGACGACCACTTATTCGACGACCACTTTGCGAATTGTGATAAATGATACTGCTCTCTATTTCATTTTTAACTGTGAAACAGTTTCCTATTTTCTGCAAACGTTTTGTTGTTTTTGACAATAGTAAAATTCTTACCAGCACATACATATTTAATAATTTTCATTTATTAATATTATTAAATAAAACCAAAATTTCAAACCAAAAATTGAAAAAATACAAAATAACAGATTCTTTTAGAGAATATTAATCAAGTTTAAATAAAACCATTTTCAATTCATGATTTTTACAATAGATTTTTAATTTTTAAATGTTATTGTATAACAAGGCAAAAGCGAAAACTTCATGATAAAAAATATTTGCCGATAAATAAAAATGAATGTGTTTTGTGTAACAATTCATATTTCGCTCGTCTGAATGTGAATCTTTAATTAAGAAATAAATCAATATTTGATGTTCCTCTTTAGTTTATGATACAATCGTGTACAGATTCTATGTGATCTGTTTGGTGGAACAAAACTTACGGCTGACCAACAAGCTGATTTTTCTACTTGTAACCCAATCCCGCGAACGACTCCCCGGAGGTAATAACCCTTACGTTGATCACGTAAAAGACGAGATCATCGTAGGTGTGAGTCAGTTTTAAATTAATGACTCCCCAGCGCTTAATCTTCAAGTTGAATCCGAGGCATACCTGTTAAAATAAGCCATCAACTGAAACGCGGTATTGAGATGCTTGTGCACCCCACTCTTGACGCGCGGCAGGTAGCCATAAGCAGTCAGCACATTATCAATTAGCATCGGGGCCCAACAAATGGCGAACAGCACCACGACTGCCACCAGCATTTTCACCACCTGTTGGCAGCCATTCGAAGTGGTTAGAGCTGTTTTCCAACATTTATTAAGACCATAATACAGGGAACATCACATTATATTTAAACAATGTACTGGATATAGTCTGTTTACTTAACAGTAGAGATATCCTGCCTCGAGTAAAGCTCAGATGTATACTTTCAATCCTATATTTTCATATCGACTACAATATATGATCTCTAAAAGCATGTACAATTTTATTAAACAAGTACATTTCAAAATTAAAACCTTTTTTCTTCAAAAGAAAAATTTTAAAATTTATACATTGTTATAACAACATACAATGTGTGAGCTTCATAATTATTTAAAAAAAAACAGTAAAAAGTTTTTTCATAAGTGAACTCAATAATAATTTAAGAGTACTAATTAATTAATTACTAAGGATTCCAAAATGATTTTTGTAAATTTGTATAGCCATTTCTTTCTATTATTCCCAAGGAAAGATTAATTAAATCAAACCTGCTTCATAGTCCGTGATTCTTCATCTTTTTCGTCCCGGCGTGATTTGCGTTCGTTTCCGCCCTGCCGTTGGGTCATAGGAATAGATTCCGTATCTGCACTGTTTGGATTTAATCTGGAACAGATTAAAAATTGCACTCTGATTATACACACGAGAACCTCATTCCATTGCATGTCAATTCTATTTGCGCCGACTATAGAGGATGGACGAAAAAAATAGACTATTCACAAACCAAATTTCAAAAATACGAACAAATAGAAAAATTTAATACAATATGAATTTAAATTCGATTTTAACCTTTCAATAATTTTAATTTAGCTTTCGATATTTAAAAAAAAACCTATATTAATTTTCTCTTGCAGCTGACTTCTTTGACAAATAATATTTTAATAAAAAGATTACAGTTTATCCCATCCTTTTTTTACTTTTAACGTTAAATAGCGCTTTTCTTTTCATATCCAGGCACTTTTGTTTTCATATACACGCGAAGGATATGAAATTATTTACGAGAAAAATCACTGAATTTTTATCTAGCGCTTCATGTGCATGTGAGAACCCAATTTCATCTTAGCAAGATATTGCGTGCATTAACTACGTTATGATTCTACTCCGTGGAATTTCCTTTGATCTTGCACGACAGTAATTTTATCTCGGAGAATTTCTCCGAGTTGACCGATGTACTAAGGTCAGAGAATATTCTAAAGTAACGACCTTTCCGCGATCGGAAGCGTTAATTTAATAACGCGTATACTTGTACTGTATACACAGTGTTTCAAGAATGATGGCAATCGATAGCACAAAAATGTATTTTCCCATGCAATTGATTCTTCAAAGAAATCTTTGCATCAACTGATAAAAAAAACTTCAAATAATTGAAATCTGTCTTAATTCTTATAATTATGTAAATAGTTTTTTCTTCCTTCCTTCAAATAATTCTTATATCCATCTAATTTGTATCAGCTCGAATTCGAAAGCTCGTCTTCTAAGGAGCTTAAATGAATCTTTTTTCATTTAAGCAAAAGCACATGTCGAAACATTTTACGAAGCATTACGGGCAAAAGAGGTACTTCTTCATGGAAAGACTTAAACTCGTAAACACAACTAAAATCCTTCTCAAAATAAGTTTTCTACGTTCATCGACGGAAAATTCTCAAAGATTCCTTGAAATGTTTTTAAATATATCGAGCGACTACCTGAAGATGAGCACTCACGACGATGTTTCACGACATGCAGGAGACGGCGAATCGAATCAAGTAGAGTCATAAAGTGTAAATGCATTCGCCATTACGTTTGCCCCATCGCCCTCGATCTATTTCAAGCGAACCGCCTGCGGTCTACACATTTCCCAAAGAAATACTGTGAACGATGCGACCGCATCCATTACCAAAAGTTTACTTCCCACTAAACTCAAATATTACTGGATGAGTATATATATATATATATATATTCTGCAAAATATCTAATTCAAAAAGAGGAACTCGCTTTAATGCTTCAACTGCTTGAATGTACAATTTGCTCTTAAAAGAAATTAATTAATTTCATTTACAATTATTGATAGAAAAATTGTTTTAAAACTACCTGTACTCGCTATATATTTTTTATCTCGCTATACATTTCTACTTTCCAATTTTTTTTAATTCTAATTATGCATCTAATTATCGTGTTTCTTTATAAAGATTCAAGATTTATTTCACGAAAGAGAATACAAATCCTGTCGATCACGATAAGTTTATACAGCTTACGTTATTCGCAACTATATATGAATCTCGATGAGATCTCGCGAGATATTACGTTATTGCGACTGGCGAGATAAAATGCGTTATAAATGATAACGCGATCTTCTTCACCGTATTATCGTCATCCAACCTCGATATGAATTCTACCTGCCAACACCCAAAAATCGGCTATTCAATTGTAATTTATATTAGATTGCTGGTCGCGTCAGGACACCCATAAAATGGCAAAAAATTAGTGCTTTTCTCTTCCGCTTGCTTACGACACGTGACTGATGTCCGTGACGAGTAATCGACATTTCATACGACCAAGCGAGAACACGGTTTTCGATTGTTGTTATAGCGGAAAAGGCAAATAGCAATGTATGCGCCCATTTATAGATTATTACCAAGTCCGATACGCGGTAGGCGGATGTCGCACATAAATTAACGCAATCGGATTCACACCGATTATTATTGCTCGTGGTAGAATTAGTATTGGAGAATTCAATCGTTTAAATTTCCATACGCATATTCGTTACATATTTCCCGAGATATTACCGCTAAAATGTAATAGTTTCACTCTACTGAAATTTAATAGTTCATGATAAATTATCGATTATAACTGAAAAGGTCATATTGTTCTCAAAACAATTTCAGGAACGCATTTCAAGCCGCAATTCTAAAATAACAATTCTTAAAAATAAGCTTCTCCAAGTCATTATCGTTTTCTTTTACGACAATTGATATTTTTATAGCAGTATCGACTATCTATTTTTCTTCTTGATTTTTAACTTTTATCTTCTTTTTATACAGTGTCAATAAACTTTTTACTACACAACTTTAATTGTATTTATTTTCTGAGACCATTAGTAATTTATACGGATTTTGTGATTTTGGACTTGAAAAATTTATTTTCGATTAAACTTGCTGGCATTTCATAGATCAGGAAAAAGGAATGCTTTCTCTGTTTAATTCAGAAATTCACGAGGTCCAAAAAAAAAAACAAAATCTCGAACTTACGCATGCCGAGACGTCATATGATATCTTCGTTTCATAACGCGCCAAATTTCCCAGCAGATACTCGTGTAACAGAACGCCATGATGATCAATGGTAGCACGAGAACCACAATGAGCATATAAACTTCGTGAGATCTCCACAGAAGTCCAGCTTCGGAATTGCGAACGCACCAATAAGCGATCCTCCTCACTCCAACTTCCTTGTGTGTCTGAAAAGAAGAACAGACAATAAATAAGAGAACACCGAAGGCACGTGCCTTCCTCGACATGTTCCCGGATGTAACGAGACATGCAAAGATGTTTCGCGACGTGCTACTCGTTTTTCCACCGCGTTTATTAAGCTGTTAAACAGGCATTTATATATGTCGGGGTGATAAGATTCCGCCGGAATATGAAAGCTTTTTATTGCTCCCTCGCCGTTTACTTCACGGCCCCGTAAAAAGGATCAGCCGTCCGCCTTCGCGCTTTATTAATCCTTTATGACGTGACTCTTTTTTGGATATGACCGAAGAGAGAATCTTATCCATTCAACGTGTCGCAAGAAATGCATTGTAATGGCATACTGGGATTTCCGAATAATTTAAATCATGGAAGGAATTGTAAAAGTCATAATTCCTTTTTAATAGAAGAATAAAAAATGTCAGTGAATGACAAGTCAAATCCTACATAATTGAAGTAAAGGATCATCTTAAGATTTTCAACAAAGAATTTCAAAAATATGACTATTATCACTGATGCTTTATAATAGCTCAAATAAAATATGAAGGGTATTTTCGGATTTTCTGTACAGATTTTCTTTAACAGTGTTCTATGAGCTGAAATAAAAAAAATACTATATGAAATAAAATAAATATGGATATAAGTATTATATAAATACAGATTCTAAAATGCTTTGTTAAAAAGTTATAACAAAAATATGAAATGTGTAATAAAAAAAAATGTTACCTAAGTATACAGTTTAAAATGTCGTTCGCTCATGTCAACACAAATATGACATCGATGAAATTTTGGACTTATTATCTTTTTCTGTGATAGAAAAGGTAGAGGAAACCTTCATTGAATATAATCTTGACAGCCTCAGTGAAGATTCCCTTCTATCATTGCAAAAAAATAAATTCAAAATTACATCGATGTCAAGCTTGCAATGAGCATTTTCAAATGTAACCTTAGATAAAATTTCTTACATTCATATCTTTGTTATAACTTTTTAATAAAACATTTTAGCTATGCTTATATAATATTTTTCATTCTTCAGCTCATAAAACACACAGGTTAAGAGTAAAACTTTTTCATTCATTTCTCGCGATAATGTTTATGTTTCTGGACAGCACATATTGAATATTTACCTACAGGTTGTGCTTTCAAGAAGCAATCATTGTATAAAGTAATTATAAACACGTCAACTGCATAGCGATATTATTCATAAATCTTCATTTAAAATTGAAACTGAATAACTTTGCTCTATTCTACTGTTAAAATTTATACAGAAAATTCAGGGACATTTTGTACAGGGATCCATTATCTTTCTAATTATATTTTAACGGGAGATTCAAAGAAAAATCGTGGAAAAGATCTCTATTATATAATATTTGATAAGTACTTCAAGTATGAGAAATTAAAATATTCTCATTATTTCAAATTGACGACACTAATAAAAAAGATATATTTAAACGTAGCGTGCACTGCGTGTTATTTAAATTATTTCTCTTTACGATTGTAATTTGTAATTCGCTAATGCTTCGCGAAGAATAAGAAACTATTTCAGACGCATTTTCTCTTTGACTGCGTTTTATTCTCAACTTTTTATTCATAACTTTTATGCCAAGCCTGTGTGTGCAAAAATTTCATTTCCTTCAATCTTTCATTTACTTTCTCATAAGAATAAGAATTTCTCGTATAAGAGACTTGTTCACCGGTGAACCTCAATTCGAAAATGTTATGTGCACCCTTGTAGAAAATTGATTTCACATCCCGATTTGCGTCACGATTACAATCAGTTTATTTCCGACGTCATTGAAGGATTATTGGGATAATATTGGAATAACAAAAGTTGTCACAAATAAGTCGCGTACAATCCTTCGTATATAAAATAACCGATATTTTTTATCCTAAGTGAAGTAAAGATAAAACCAAGTTTATATTCAGGACACAAAAGGGCATTTTTCATCGGAAAAGAATCTTCTGAATGACAATTAAATATCAAGCAAAATAATCTTTATCTCGTGTAAAGTAAATTCAATTTTTGTAAAAACATTATTCGATCGTACAAACATTTAAACTATTTAATTAATGAAAAAATTTTCTAAATACATTAATTTTTAGCTTAAATTAAAAAAAATTAAATATATATTTGAAATTTAAAATATTGTTGATATTCCATATTTAACTCACGTCGATCAATTTGAGGCAACGTTGCACGAATCTTCATTTCAGACAACTAAAATTTGAAATCAAATGAAATGTAGTGTATCTAAAATTTATACATTCTACAACTACGTTAAATGTAATATAGAATACCAACTACAATGTTTTCAGCATCGATGATTCTGAGAACGTTTAAATGAAAACGCATCGAACATTTATCTAGGAAAATATTAGAAATTACGAGAGAAGTATTCTCCAGGTGAAAATCCAATCACGTCGGTCTTCTCTCGATTTTCTCCTGCTTAACTCCTATCTTTTCAACGTTGAGATGAATCTGTTCATTAAAGTAAGTGAACGAAGCTGGGTGTATTAACTTTATCGGACGTGCAACTGCGGGGCGTATCATTCTCGGATTTCGTCGATACTCATTATATGTGTGTGTAAAATATTGCGAAGTGCCATGTTGCGATAAACGATAGTATGAAAGTAACACGCTATAATGACAAGTGCCAGTAAACAAAATTAGAGAGACACATCGTTTCATATTAATTACATTCAATTTAAAAATCGCCAGAGGTAGGTGGTGTCAATGTATGTTTAAGATAATTATTTCTGCACATACATTTTTTTTAAATAAAGAATTTCATATCAAAATTTTAAATGAAGAATATTTCAGATACGGAACAAACAACTTGATAATCTAATTCATGTAATTACAAATCTTCCTTAAATACAGCTAATTTGAAATGAAGTAGAAAACAATATTTTTTCTCCAGTTTGGAATCAAATTTTCTTTACTACACTGTGATATAAATCTTAGAGTATAAATAACGGAAAATTAAATGTTTTTTACAAAAAATATCACGAATAGAAATACATAGTAGAATATTGCAATTGTTTCACGTTAATCTTGAAACGGTTTTTTCTGAAATTAATAGTAATTATAGTTTCGGACCTACCAAAATCTAAACAAAGTATTAAATGAAAACAGAGAAAAATTAAGAAAAACAACGTTTTCATTAATGTTGAGTACAAGTTGAAAATATCCGTACCTGTGTAAACGTCATGGGTATTCCCAATAGAAATGCTGCTATCCAAGTTATGATTACGATCTTACGAGCTTGGCTTATGGTACATATATACTGCGCTCTCATTGGATGCACTATGGCGTAATACCTGAAACAGTAACAAAATTATTTTGAGAAATAGTTTAGATCTAAAGAATTTTATTTAAGGATTTTTAATATATCTGTAAATTAGTTTCAATTAAATCTACTGCGTGCAGTAAAGAAAATAAGTACGAAAACTAAAACGAAGATTTCTATAAATATTATAATATATGATACTGTAAAAAATAGTCAAAGCGCGACTATGAAGCATCTCCGAGAGACCATACGTTGGTCGTGGTTTTCACGATGCCATTTCTAAACATAGGATCAAAGCGCTTTGTCTTGACTTACGAGGTAACATTTCTCGCAAAATGGCATTTCTGTGGCGTGGATATTAATTTGAGTGTACTTTATGAATATTCCGCTTATAGTACAAAAATATAATAATCCGCGACTCAAAAAGATCACATAACGGCGTGAAAAATTGAGAGTGAACTTACAACATTTTATTCATAGGTTGCGTCAATGCAATATTCTTGTCAAAATGAGTCTCTTGAGATAGTCATTATGCAACCAAAATGAAATCCAAGTGAAATTATCTATTTTGTATTACAAATATAAAAGGTATATTAAAGATAATATTAAAGGTATTTCTTTAATCAAAGATTATATGTTCTTGGCATTAAAAGTTTCTCTTGGCAGCCAGCGCGATAAATAAACAAGTTAAAAATTACGTACATAAAAAAAGTATGTATAATTTTTTCCTCTTTAAATTTTTATATAATATAAACAATGTGTAAAAAAAAAACAGATACGCTAAAGAAACAATATCGCGCGCTTTATTTTGTTCTACAATAATCTAGTATTAAAAAAATAAAATGTAATAACCAATGTATACAGAATTGAATGATATTAGCATTATTAAAACAAGAGCTGTTTTCAGATTAGAAACAAAGATCGGATTAGATCATTTTATTATAAGCTGTTTTATAAGCTTGTGAAAGCGGAAAAATCGTCCGCACAAAACTGCATACAAATATGAGACTCGAATCAGAGAGAAATTAAATCAGGACAGGGAAAGTCCAGCACCAGGGGGGAAAAAAATCTCCCTGTTTGGACTCCAGTTGATGTGAAAGAACAGAAATATAATGAGCAGATAGAGGACCGAATCGCGTAATAGAGCGGAAAGGCGGCCGAAGCATTTACGCTGCATTGTGCAGACTCTGCTGTTGCGTTTTCCGCCGCAGTTTCCGCCAGGTCTCTTTATTCGCGCACAACGAAAGGACCGAACTGCCTCCTTGTTTTCGGCGGTATTATCGTCGTCATGAATACAAATTGTTCTGACCGATGTGTCGGAAAATCAGACAATTCATCGATAAGAGCGGCGAATGAGTCGCGTCAAATGGAACGAATGACAGGCTATTGTCCGACTTTTTATCGCTCAAACCGTTTGCGTTTTATGACCGCGAGATTGTCGTCGATACGAACATCGTTTTGCGTGTTTTTGCGATCCAACGACGATTTTTTCTAGCAGAGAAAAATTAGGTTTAAGAATGTCTGAAACGTCGCGCGAGTTATTCTATATCGATTTCTACAGGATCAAATTTTCGTGTGCATCGCGGAGAAAATAACGACATTGAACCAGCCGTTTCGAAGTACTGGTAAACTTTCGCTGATACTTCTAATATCTTTCAATAGTATTTGTCTTGTTTACAAACTCTGCATACAGTAGGAATATTCGATGTTAAGGAATGGAAATGAATAACAGAAAGAATAAATACCAAAAATACTCAAGCTTCATAAATTTTAAAAAATATATATTATAACAGGTGGGTAATATTTTTCGCAATAAATTCTTTACAGTTTTTCTAATTTAATTTAGTGGGGATTATTAGCGTTTCGGATTGTGTTGAAAATCCGAAAATTATCAACGCGCAATCATATCTGAAATAAATTGATTTAATAAAGAATCTCTATCGTATTTGATATATTTTTTAATATGATACAAGATACACAAATGCAATTACTTTAATCTACTTGATTTAGAACATTCTAATACATTTATTCAGCACATACATCTTTGTTAAGACACGACATATTAACTTGACACAACATTCGACAATAATAACTCAAAAAACTCAAAAATTTAGCAATTTTCCATTTTATAACTTTCACTTTTAGATTACACGAAGAGCGTTTCTATTAAAAAAACTCCACAATTATACCACTAATTATACGAAAAATTAGGACTGCTTTCCTTTTAGGAAGACACAGTCGACGCAAATGTCGTTTTATCTTTCAATTAATAACAAAGATAGAACGATATTTGTGTCGACCGTGTCTGCTAAAAGAAACCTAAATCTCGATGAAATGAATTAATTTTCAGTACTATAGTATACAGTATACAATATAGCTTTTAACAAAAAGTGAACAAAAAATGTTATTGTATATACACAAGATTTAATACTACAGAATTTTTTTAACTACGGTACATCAAAGCCATAAAATTTGTGCTCGCCGAGCATTTTTGATAACCATAGTTCAAAAACAAAATTATCGAGCCTTTGATTTTCTGTTCACAATATAAGCTATATTATATTTAAAAATTAATTTCATCAGGACTCAATTTTTCATATAACATAACTTATAGTGCGGAATCCTTTATCTAAAATATTTCTCGTGTAATTGTGATCTTGGAAAGAAATCATGAATATGTTTATTACATTGTTGAAATAGGTAAATGGAATTTATATGTCACAACAAAATAGTCCTTATATACATCGAGTCTACTTGTTCGTTTAAATAACTACATGAGCCATCAACGAAAGAAAATACGATCGATTAGGAATACTCGTGAACATATTCCTTGTATTTGACTTCGCTTGTACCATTGATTGCGTCACGTTACTAGACTCTTACTAAAACTAATAAACGTAGACTAAGTAAGCTTCTTTAAACTGCTTATGCGCGATCTAATTGTTGTGCTCGACATTCAATAGAACTATTTGAGATGGTTTCCTTTTGTGCACTGCAAATTAAATTACGAATAAATATCAAGTGAAAATTGCTTCTAAAGAATAAAATTACAATTATGACTGAATAAAGCACAAGATATCCTAGAACACATGATTCTAAATATAACGATAAGCTTAATTTTAAAGAAAAAAAACTCGAAACTGATTTTTTTGGCTGTTGAAATCATTTCAATTATTGAATATTGAGACATGTACAAAATTTCAAATAAACTAATTTATACAATATAATATTAAGAATTTTAATCAAATTTTAAGCAAATATTTAAATATGTCATAAAAATTATTATTAGAAATATATCTCGTGATTAGTATTTCGCTTTATGCAAATATCCCGGAAGTTTTTATAGTTAAGCGTAAATCAGACTGAAAGGAAGAAATAATGGTTTTTCAATTTCATAGCAAGTCATAACGGGAAAGTGTTTGCGAAGTTGGCTCGATAGCGAACACTATAAATAAAAGAAGTATCTCCGTCTGCTAGTAGATTTATGAGTCTCGAAACTCAAGACGGAACTGGGTTGAATCGGATTCTGACACCGTAGAAACTTACTGTTTCATTTTGCAAAGTTGCTTTAATTACTGCGTAGTCTTCTTCTCTCTTCTTTTTTCTCGTCCCTCGGAAAAAAGGCTGAATACGCAGTGTTTTATGGAACTACCCTCTATCTCGAAAGTTTTTCACTACATGAAGGAATTGCGCAAAACGAAAGGGTAATTACGTTAATCTACGTTTTAATCCATTATTTTCTAAATACCAATAAGGATCAATCTTTGTAATAATATTAAAGCAATAGAATTATATAAAGTGCTTCAAATCCTTTAAGTAAAATCTCATCAAACACCGTTGTGGATCTCTCCGAAAGAGAGAAAAGGAGAAATTCGATAAGGGAACAATGAAAAGAAGATTAAAACGGTCTTGTAACTCAATTTTCCACTTGAAAGCTCAAGTAAGGTATTTTTTACGATTATTATCAGATTATGTGTTTATTAGATAGAATGACCCGAATACGTCCGGAAAAAAGATTGGAACCCCATACTCGAGACTTTTCTTTCACGAGAGTCGCAAGATTGTCATCCTTGGATTAGCGCCAACAGAGTTACTAAACGTCCGTGGCGCCTGTTATAATTGCTACACTTGCTCCGCGGTTCTTTCACGAAAATGCAATAACCGTGCCAGACGTTTGCCGGGGTTGCATAATTAATCTTACCGTATACATCCGACAGCATCTCAATCGTCGGGATGTCTCGGGTAATCTTATTTAACCCCGCGAGACGACGTCGGAACCCGAGACGGCATGCAAGGGAAACCGTAGAAAATTCTTTTTATCGCTTTTTTCAGGTCCACGAGAATAACGCGAGGCCAAAAAGGGGCAAACATCAAACCAGTGATTGTCATGAGTTGCTTCGTGGGCGGCGCCAAGTTCTCAGATTAACGATGGATATTCAATTTCAAAGTGTTCACGTTGCCGTCGTTTAATCGCGAGAGAAAGAAGAAAAGAGAAGGGGGGGAGAGAGAGAGAGAGAGAGAGAGAGAGAGAGAGAGAGAGAGGAGAAAAGCAAGAGATAAAAATCATTACGTGGGATGAATACGTCTTCTAAGCGAAATAAAAGAGGCGCCCGCTCGCGACCGGAAGTACAGTTCCTTCCGACGCGATGCTCTCTTCTACTCTCTCTTCTTCTTGCTAGGTCAGGTTCTTTCAACATAGTTCCTTTTGACTGATACAAAACAATATAGCTATACAATGTGACGATGAAAAATTCAGATAGAATTACTGCAAAATTTTCTATAACATTGTGAATATTAATGTAGAATTATTAAAATTAATTACAACTCCTTTTACACATTTTTAATGATCAATGTAACGGATTCTGATATATCTTGCAAACTCTTATATTGTTCCTATTTTATCAATTCCTTCAGTCTTTTTTTAATACTTGGAATATCCTAAAATACGATATCGATATTCCCAAACTCTTTTTAAGAATCTGGATCTAATATCATGTGTAACAAAGAAAGAAAGAGAGAGAATGAGAGAGAATGAGAGAGATTTTCGATGATATTATATAAAATATCATGTTATCTGCATATAATATTATCTGTGATAATATGACGGCTCACAATAATATTGCGGATTAAATAAAAACTAAATGTACTAATTAAATGTTGAAATTTTATCTCTGCAGTATGTTAGTTAATACTACCTTGAAATTACGTAATTTAAAAGTCAGTGCAAAATATGAAATGTACTGTTTTTTCATAAAAGGATTTTATTCGAAAGTTTAAAATTTATTTTTGCTTACTTTTTTATGTTTTGATAACATATGATATCGAATTATAAAGTACATCTCTCGCATTTTCATGGCAATTTATGTGAGAACCCACATATGATGTTCATATTTCTATCATTTACACTACACTGCCAGCGGCGATTTGTACGTACAATATTTGTTGTTTAAAACCAAATTGCATAGTAAATTTCAAAGTAACTTTTTTTTTAATTATATCAAATTGTATAAACCAATTGTGTTATATTATTTTACAAATCCTTCATTTTCAAAAAAAATTTTTCAAAAAATCGAATTTAAGTCGAATTTATTATAACTTCTTTTCTACGATGCCGATTAATTATTCGAGAAGTTTGATTGCGTTGTGATAAATTTTTTTATGATTTTATTAGAACATTTTATTATATTTTTTATAATTTTAAATTCGTAATACTGAAAATATAGCAACCAAAATACATACTCACATACGTAACAGGATAAAGAAAACAACTCTAATTAAAAAATTTCTTTACAAATCACAAAATAAGTGCACATATATAAGATTAGTGTGCGTGAGCATAATTATGCAAGAAGTCACGACACTAAAGTGACACGATACTAAAAGATGTAAAACTGTCAAAATTTAATTAATTATAATCATGTCAAAGTACAGTAGTATATAACTGCCCTGATAATATTCGTAGGAAGTATAAGAAATGATTGTACAACCAGGCAATCCTTCATACGATAAAATAAATTAAGTTTCTAATGATATAATAAAAAGAAATTAAAGAAGAACAAATCATCTCCAAAAAAAATGTACTTATCAAAAAATTCATATTCTTACAAATTATAAAAAATTTTGGTGCAAGAATTTTGATATTATTTATATTACATTCTCTTTAAATTGTATCTATAAAGGAATTTTAGATGTATGTTATGTCTAAAGAACAAACAGAAAGTTCCTGTAATAAATATTAAATCTTATATCCAATATATTCACAACAGAAATATTCATAACATAAATATTTACATTTGTAAACCGTGTAATCAAATCTCTATATTCTTGTTATATATATATATATATATGTATGTATATATATATACTGCAATTTTAGATTACTCAATATAAATTTTAAGCCGATCACAATTGATTTACGTGACCCTGTTATGGCATAATACTTTACACAAATCGTAGCGTATACTATCCTTGTTGACTCTTGAACGTTCGCAAATCCTTTTCTGACACAATCGATACTCAACTGACCTGCTTGTGATTTACATACGATCGTAATAACCATGACGTACAATCAATTGTCAGCAAGAATAGTGCAGATCTCACCTCTCAATCGACATCGCAGTAAGGGTGACGACCGAGCAGATTGCCGACACACTCTGCATGTAATGTACCGCTTTGCATAGAAAGATACCCATGGTCCATGTGTAAGAGAACAGTTTCGCTATCTGCAACACAGAAATTACTGCACATGAATATATAAAAGAGAAAAAGGAAGAGAACTCCAAGCCTGAAAGGTTCTATTTATTAAAATTCTCGACTCGATCACTCCACGTGCCACTTCAACGTAATTATTATAGAAAAAAACATGTAAATGATAATAGGGAGATCTCATAATTTCTTACAAGAATATAAGTATCAGAATCAAAAACAAATTATGGCAATCAATATGCGCTTCTTCCGGAAAATATCTCCTTCTGTTTTGCCGGTAAGTTTCAAGATATGAACAAAAATAAATAAAGCCACATTGGATCAAGGTGAATCTTGATGCATAATAATTATATTTTTGTGTAAATTTTACAATTTCCAGTTCAAGTAAACTGTGCGATTATTTCTTAAAACACAATCTTAGACTAAAGTCATACTTAGTATTGATAAGCAATTTAATATTACTCTAATATACTATTATATAAGCATCTTTAAAACTCTGTAAATCATTTATTTAAAAAATTTCAATAACTATCGATTTAACAAGGCAATCGCATATTGCTCGCTAATCATTAAGACACCATAATAATAAGTAGGCATTGAACGGTTCACCAATGATATTTCTCGAGAAGTAATTCGCACTATTCGTGACGATTAAACGGCCTAGCATTGTGCACTCACGCACGCAATCATATCGGGCGAAGTTTCGCGCAGTCATGAGTAGAAAGAGGCGGTTTAATCCGTCAAATAGCACGATAATTGCGCCGGAATATCCGAGTGCCAGTGGAAAGAGCACGCGCAGGCACGTACGCGATGCGCCCGGGAACGCGGAAGCCTGAGATTTCCTCTGGCTGTTCCGGCTTAACCCTGCGTCCTGTCCCGCAAACGTTATGTTCCCACGTGTAATGTGCGATTTAATAAACGCTGTTTATCACGGTATAAGACACAGCCGCGCACTGACAATGAACGGAAAATGATTAATGAATCATCGGGGGAAAAAGCGTTCATTTTCATCCCAGGATTAAAGTGTCCATTTTAATCCCAGAATGATGAAACGAATAAAATATCCATAAATTTTGATAAAATTTGTGGATATTTTATTTTGTTAAAATGAAATATACAAAATCTCATTAATCGCATTAATCAATCTTATATATTTCTCTCTCTCTCTCTCTCTCTCTCTCTCTCTCTCTTTTTTATTTTATTTTCGCCTGGCATAAAAAATCTACTCAATAAATCAATTATCTCTATAAATACAGATATCTATAATTTTATTATATATGTATATATAAATAGTTTTCAAGTTTTTAATATTTTACCAAATATTTTATTTGCTATTTTGATGTTAAAAAGTATACAATAGCAAATATTAATAAGATAAAAACTATAAGAAGTAGTGAAAAAAACTGAATGATGTAATTAGAACAAAGCGAATTTCTCTTCATTTTTTACCAGAGAAAAGACCATTTAACAATTTTGCAATTGGGATCGAAATATCGCCTCTCTGAAAAGCACTTCGATCACTGATGGAGATACGGATTAAATTCGAAACTTCCCCGTCAAAGGAAACCTTCCGGCTTTAATCAACATCCCTTGTGTCAGACGCAGGTGTCTTTGTCGGTTTTGTTATAATCGATTTCTGATGTTAGAGATTTACACATTCGAATCTCGTTAAAAGTCGAAGTTCATTAAATTGTACGCACCAGGTCTCTGTACCTTATTGAATAGATACTTGTGACACATTATACTAGCATTCTCGCGAAATTCGATATCGGGGAAGAAAAAAAATACAACGAAAGTACAGCGAAATAAAATGCAATTCTTCCAGTTTCTGCATGACGAGAAATGAAATTCTATCGAATTTCCACTGACATTATTAAAATTCGAAAACAAATATGACTGGAATTTCTCTTCTCCTGTTTCTCATTAAAGAGACAATTTTTCGAGCAACCGAATCAATTCCGCGGTGACATAGCAAAATGAAAAGTGTAGTGTCGACGAATGTAAATAAGACTCGACATATAGACACATTCTTCAGATATCCATCTCATGTGTGCCACCGCAATAACGATGAAAAGGAAGACCGAGGAGCGTGGGAGGACCATTGCTGAAAGAAAACGAGTTCTCAAGGGGAATCGCACCGGAATAACGTGAGATCGAGCTGGGTTGCGGTCGACGTCCTTCTTATTTAATTTCCTCAAGAGGGAGCCAAGAATTGTACTCCTCATCTCTTAAACGCTGCCAGACTAATTTTATCCGGATTCCCCTTACGTGACGGCCACCACTTGCCATCGAGACCTTCAATTTGCGATCGTGCGACAACCCTGATTGCAGCGTGGCGCGAATCGAGAGAATGCCTGCAAATTTGACGTGAAAGAACGTCATTTCCCTGTAACACTTAACCGATAATTAGTTCATCACTCGCGGTGAACTTACAGCGAGCATATCACGCGAAATGAAACAAGCATGCACGATAATATCGCGCGCAATGGAAACGAGCGACCTAATTAACTAACGTCACTCGTAAGGTGCTACTGTAACAACGCGTCACGACCAGCCAGTAAATCATGGATGTAGGAGAAGAAAGGAAAGTGGGTGCAAAGAAATGCATTTACTACAAATACCACGCGACATGGTAGCGCTCTTTATCGATTTAGGTCGTTTATGTCAATGTGGAGGAAGCAAAAGGTAGATAGACAGATATCGATGCTAAAGTAAGTTGCCAAACCGATGTATCTTTTGACTAAATCTCGATAAAGTCGATATTTTCTTTGGATAAATTTGATCCGTTATCTACCTTTTTAAATTTGATTATTGACATTATATAAATTTGTAATTAAGTTTAAAAAAAAAATTTTATTGAAGTATAATCCATTTAAAATTATAATAAATTTTTATTTTTAAAAATTTTTCGCTAAAGAAAAATCTAAATCTGCTTGTTAAACTTTCGGATTTTATCTTGAATTACTTTATTACGGTATAACCTTACAAGAATTTCCAATTTTTATAGTTCGAAGAAAAAAGGTTTAGACAAGAAATAAGGGTAACAAGGAACAATGACATTTCTTATAGAATAGCGAGTGACATGTTTAAGGTTAATAATACGACATAACGATCTCGCCTAAGCCGGAAATTGCTCGTATAACTTATGAACCAGAGATATATTCGACGTACACGATTTAACGCAATTACGCCTGATATAGGTCGTCGCTCGTTCCCAAAAATCGTTTCATACCAATCCAAATCATGGCGAGCAATAAATAACAAACGAGCTGCTCGGTCTTTTCATTTTCGCGGCATCGACCGCGTTATCGAAACAGTCTCGGTACAATTTATTTCTCTCTATTTCCCTTTCTCTCCTGTGCCAGATAGAACAAGGATTGTCCATGCTCGACGCGACAATCCGGAACAGCTTCTCGACAATTGCGAAATTCGATATTGTCGCGCAAAGAAAGTAAATTGGTGTGACTCAGAGAATAATTGTTTTCTCGACAGAAAAGTACAGATCCTTTCTTTTCTTTTTATTGTTTCTTCAGTGAAAGATCGAAGCCAAACATGAAAATACTCGGTTTGAAATAAATAAAGAAATTGTCCAGGAAAAATTCTAGCGAAAGATAAATAATTAATATCACGATTAAAGAACTAAGAACTAGAATTTACTAAGAATAGATCAAAGTCTGGCGTGAGAATAAATGATTACATATCGTTCCTTTACTTCAAAAGTAGCACAACTAAAAAAACATAATTTTTATTGCTATAAATAAGTTAGATAAACATTATTCTATCGAGTTTAGAAAAAAATCATCAAAATCGTCACAATTCAAAAAAAATAATTTAAGGATTATAAAACGAAAATAACAAAAATAAAATTTGATTATGTTAAATAAAATTTTTGCTCATATTATTTGATTAGTTAATAATTTCCTGTCAAGTTCAAAATATTTAATTTTCCCCTTTTCTCTTCATTTGTTTTTTCAGGTTGTTATTTATTTTGAAGTAAGGGAACGATATCTTCTAAACTCTTCGATGTGTGACTACTTTTAGTGTGACATACCGAAAGCTTTTTTTACTTCACTACCATAATTTTTCATTAATAAAGATACACACATTTGTTTATTATTGTTTTATTCTTTAATGTCTAGCGTTTTGATTAAAAATTAATTTATTATAATATGTTCATTTTTATGCGATATTTTTACATAATACTCATGTGATCAATGCGTGACAAAATGGTATAGAGTGACACCGAAGGGTTAATTATATGTAAAACGTATCAATAATATTCACGATCATCCTGTATTATAAAATAATTATAGAATCATTCTATGAAATCATTCGTTCGCTATTTTGTCACTTGACATCGCAATTTGAAATGACATTTATCGCTATTCTCTAAGATACGATGCATGCAACGATGCAAATCTATGCAGAAAAATATAAACAAATCTTTTCTTTTAGTAAAAGTCACGTCGCAACATAAAAGGAAATGAGAGAATAATACGCACATATGAAAAGGTGCACATTCGCGCAAATAATTTACTTGAGGGAAGAAAGAATACGCTGGCAAAATCTTGTACTGTGTAATAATAATGTACGGTACTAATGATAATTAAGTGGTACATTTTTTTAATTAAAATTTTAGTCGAGTACTATTTAAATGTCACCAAGTGTAACAATAGAACATACAAAGTAAAAAATATCTTATGTCTTTCTCTATTCTTAACAAAGGATAAAGTAATTAATTGATGCCAACATTAAAAACATTGTAGTTAACAAAAGCTCTGTGATTTGACACAGTCTTTTAAATTTCCAAGATCTGTAATAAAAGAATAGCAACCGGAAAGAAAGAAAATTCACAAATATAAAGAGATAGTAAAAGCTTTATCTTTTATTTAATTTTAAACCGATTTTACTTAGCAGATTTGAGGATTAATTATAATCCTCGAAATAACACGTAGAAGTACATGTGTGTGTAATATTAAAAATTCAAGTTATTACTATGAATGAGTTAAATAAACAT